TTGTTTCGCGTTGTTTTTACTAGGGCTAGGCCCTCACTGTCCCCAGATCCCATTGACTATCACTACTGTATTTACTATTAGCCTGTTAGAGCTCTAGAGCCCTAACCGTCCTACTATAGTCTTCGACTTACAAAGGACGTTAGTTAAAAGAGGGGGGGGGAGAAAGAAAAAAAAGAGTTGCTTATAAAATACAGGGCACCTCTCTCTTTCCCTGGCGCCTGCTCAAGAAGGTATCTACGGAATACAACGTGCCTATTATCAACAATTAAGTGAAAGAGATAAATTATCTACAAGAAAAAGCAAGTAAATCTTGTCCCTCCCAAGTTTTACAGCAAAAATCCCCCAACCAAACACGCAACGCCCAGGACTGCCCATCTATACACCTTGATATACACCGCAGCACCAGGCACCCCCCCAATAGCCTTACTCCCCTTCGTCGTCTCGTTAGCTCTTAAACAACTCATCTGCGTCGTCGAAATCCCGCTATCATTTTTAACACCATACTTCCCACTCTGCACGAGAACAATAGGCCAGATACGCGTAGTTCCCTCCTGGTAAAATGTAGTGTTACTCATGTTGTGTACTGGGGACGAACTATAGAGATATGCACTTCCATCGGCGAATTTAGAATCGAATTCTATTATAATGTTAAAGTAAAGCCTGGAGGGAGTAGTTTGAATAAGTAGTAGTTAGAGATAGGACATACGATTCAAAATACTCGCACCTGAAAGTCTATACTTGCAGCTCGCAGGCGGCGGCGGAATAGTTGGTATATTAGTTGTATTTGTACCAGTCCTGGCTGATATATCTGCAGCGTGCATCGCGGCACTAATATACAGCGTATAATCTCTTACACAAGCCTCTCCTAACGTAGCATAGCAGTCTCCACTATCCTTCTGTCCATCGACCGTCGCATTCCGTGCTACATCCAAGAAAATAATAATAGTAGTATCCCAGTTTGAGTTTGCTACCCAGGCTCCGAGGGGGTCGATGCCGATTACTGAGTTGGTGATCACGTCTGTAGATGGGGAAATTGTGTGGTTTAGGTTTGTGACTTCGGTGATATTGAGGTGTGCGCGCCAGAGAGTAGGGACGCCTGTGTTAGGGTCAACGCTCATGTTTGTTGCATGGAGATAGACTGCTCCTGTTGCGTTTGGAGACATATTGGCCTGGCGGAAAACATCTTCGTTGTTTGGGCCAGGCCCTGAGCCGGTTTCTAGTAATGTGCTATTTGTGTCTGCGTTGGTGAGGGCAAAGGTTGCGAGGAGGGGGAGGAGGTATGTTGGTTTCATTTTGGACGGTGGATTAAAGATGTAGAGAGGGTTAATTGTCGGTGTTAGGTGTGGGAAACTTTACTGCTGCAAGATATGGATATACTTCTTCTATAAAGTAAACAGTCAAATGCGCCTTACGGGTACTCCGTAGACCCAAGGCTCCAGCCTCCAGCCTCCAGGCCCCAGAGCGATCAACCTGCTACGCCACAATAGTATTGCAATTGGCGACTAGCCGGCTGCACATCATTCAATCTGTTATGCACGATTGTGGGGGTTCCATCATCAAATCACTAGGATTAAGCTCCTTCTGTTGGGTGGCGCTGCTACTTGGTCAGGTTGGTTTTAAGTCCGTTTTACATTGAAGGCCGGGCACGCGATAAGTCGAGAACACTGTATATGTACATCAAGTCCAACACCAGATGGTACTTAATCCCTACTAAGGATTATATTCGCTATACAGGAACGTTTGACATAGATTTAGGCACATGTCTTTAGCAAGGTACTACATGTTGCACAAAGCAGGTGTTGGATGGGAAACGGGGATGCGCTATTAGGATTGTTGGGTGGCAGAGTCCAACCAACAGTTCAGGCAACAGCTTGGTCCGGTGTTTGGAACAAAATCTAACTACTACACCTCTTGGGCTCCCTAGATAGGAAAAGAAAACGTACTATCAGGATTCAGGATTGTTGGGTGGTAAGAGGCCAACTAACATTTTAATCTACTGCATGATTTTAGTCTCCCCGACTCTCCCCGACTCTCCCTAACTCTCCCCCACTCTCCCACATGAAACAAAATATATCCCCTGTGCTATAACACATGATAACATTCATCATGATCAACGGCTGCCTAGCGATATCAAAATCGCTGGGAGTAACACTACACCCCAGTATGGCCAAGAGGGGAGCGGTGACCGTAAAACTATAGTATTAAACAACTTAAATTATATTTTTAACAGCTACGCCATTATCCCGTTCTTGGGGATTAATTCTTTTGTAAGATGACATCCGTCAGGATGAACAACCCAGGCTTGATTAACCTACAGATATAAGTATAAGTACTTTCCGAGTTCTATTATATATTCCAAGTTTTTATTCCTGTACCCCCCTTTCCCCTACTTAATCATTTATCAATTTGATTACTTATCCTCTATCTCACACAACTTCTCGACTTCTAGTCATGTATCCCGCACTTAGGCTCATCGGAATTTTGAGTCCCATTCCTGTTACCTGTTATTTCAACGACTGATGTTGAGTCACTAATACAGGTACATTTAACGGAAAATCCGTTATGAAGGCTCCTTTGAAGAACAACCCACAGGGTGGCTTCTATTGTGTACGAGGGAGCGCGTTTAGGGATGTCAACTCCGAGTATTAGTGCACTCCTAGACAAGATGTATGTTAAATCCATCTAGTCATTTGGAACAGATGCTTACTACTAGAAGTGTTAAGTTTACAAGTATCCGAGGCGCTATCCAAAATTACAAATACTCTGCGGAGGTTCTTAGGTTGTATTCGAGGCGCGTTTGGATATTTTCGGTTAGTTAAAAGTTTCTTTCTCGTTCGGCATATCTAGTAGCCGCCCAAGAAAAATAGAGTACTGGGGGGGTAAAAGATCTGTGAGGCCTGTACGATTGTCTCTCGGATTTGAGGCTAGATATGAGAGAAACATCAAGGAATTTTAAATCAGTGATCTAGAAGTAGTTCAGCTCTTCATTTCTTTAGTTGTTTGGTTAATATCTCACGCAGTTCTCTTGATACTAAACGAACGAGTCTCTCTTGTGCTTCCATATGACTTGTCTCTCCTTAGTATGTTACGCTCTACGGTAGCTACAGAATCGTATGGAAGGGTTCCTGGCTTGTGAATTGTTGACTTGATATACTGTAACCATTCCCCCAGAAGTTAAATACTTAGTAGTAGTCGTGCATTAAACTATAATTAATGCCCTGGGGTTTAAGCAGCTATCTCGGATATTAGCTGAAATATCAAAACTCTATCTCTTAAGCCTCTACTCTAACTACATGGCTCTAGAGTTCCTGTAACTTCCCATTACATCTATGAATATAGGTTGATTACGTGCTGTACGTCCAGAGTCGAGTGGCTAGGAGAACCCCTGTCACTAGATATATATACCTTTTTAACTACTCTAGGAAACTATTGTCGATGATAAACGTTATAATAATGTAGTTTTAGTGCATTGGTATCTCCTCTCAGAACACACGCGCGACAAGCACTCTGCCAGTGGAATGGAGGCACAGGTCATGAGAACCAGCTCCTAAGACTGTAATTACGAATACACTGAATTTGCGAGGGGTATATGGGCGCTGGCCCTTTGTCGATTTGAAGCTACGGTTCAAGTAGAAGAGTTCGTATTCGTAGGAACGGGATATGTAAGACACGGGTTCAAAAGTAGGCAATTGGGAGGGATGAGGGGAGGGAGGGGCAATTTGGGAACTTCAACATAAGGACAAGAGTGTAGAATATGCATGTTGGGCTATCGTGGCTATTCTCCAGTTATCTTAGACAGGAAATCCCGATCAAAACTGAGAGCTGTTCCATAAACACTCGTACTTCCTCTCAATGCACTCGCCTCTGAGTCGGACTATGTTCGAGCGCGTACATATCGTGGGCCGAGTCCTGACTGGAAATTCGCCGGAGGTCCAGCTCTAAAGCTTGCCCACTTTCTTGTATGCCAGAAAATGCTGAAATCATGCCTGACCCTAGGCACGTATAGCCTTCAACTCACCTAGACCTCCGGCGTTTCTTTGTCTTCTTGGGCGTTCTCTGACCGAGGCTTTAACTTAGTACTATAATATACCTGTAATATCCTCTTGCTCCTCTCCTAGAAGTAGTCTGAAATCTTATCCTACGATAAACTCTCTCCCTTTAGTTGTAGTAGAAGTTGGTCCTCTCCGGGCGAGAACTACGAGTTCCTGGTAAGTGTGCTCCTATCCCGTCCTTGTATAAGCGACTGTTCCGAGTCTCTTCTATCACTGCTACTAGAGTCGTTCCTAGCAATACCTTGTCTCTGTACTGTTCTACTAAATTTCGGTAAATTCTTAAGAAAATATAGAATAGTATACAACTTTCGATTAAGTAGTCTTCAGTGTTAAATATCTATAGATGGGAATCTCTTCGCTCTCCTGTATACTGCTAGACGAGGTGGCCGCAGTCGCTTAATATAGGACGTTGAGGGAATAGGTGAATGGCGCTGTTACATCGTTGTCTTTCGTGTCCTTCGTCTGCCTCACCCGCTTCCGGGAACGTGGTCAGCTTCCTATCTTAGAGCTAGCGGCGTCGCTCTTATCAGTATAATCTCCGTCATTTGAATCATCGGTGCTTCCATCGTCAACTATTTCCAGATTAATATTGCGGAGTTCCCGTTCCTGGTCCGGAGCTGTGGCCAGAGCGCGTGACCAGGTCGGCGAAGCGAGCGCGCCTGCCTGAACCGGCGACGCCAAACCGGAACAAGCGCGCGCGATGCCTGAACGAGCGCCGCTAAGCCCACCCGAGCGCGACCCCCCCCCCAACCCGCGCCCCACTAACTGTTCTATAAGATACTTAGTAAATAATTAATAAACTTTCTATAGCTACTAAGTTAGTTTATAACTCTAGTGATATAAACTCCTTAAAAAAAATTATCTCCTACTTTAAAGCTAATATATCTTTAATACTTAGTAGAACTAACTTATCGATTATATCGGTAATTATACTATAAGTTTAACACTTTAGAAGAAGCTATTTTTCGCTACCCCTAAGCGATTCGTTGTATTTAACGTTGATCTCGTATTAGATGATATTAGCTCAGCTGGTAGGTTTTGCGATTCCTTGTTATCAGCTGCAAGTTCGTACTTGGGGGATTCTGGAATAACTTGAGTAAGCTGAGTAACACTAGTCGTTGATAGTACCAAAGGACCGCCTCCCTAAATAGTAATTATAAGTTAGTAGATATTTAAAACTATATAGGATAGTACTAACATATAATGAGGTCGGTATCTTTTTAATAAAACCAGTGCCCTTTGAAAAGTCCGTCCATGACAGAACAATTGCTTCCTCATCCGGAAACGTCATAAAAGCCATAGCAAACGATTCAGATTTGGCGGTGAGTTCCTTTGATGTTGCAATCTTCTTAATATCCATGGGGCTCGAATTTAGATTGGAAATTTTATACAGGTCCCCTTTGTTGTTGACAATAGCAAGCTCTTTCCCAGACGGCGAAAAGGCAGCACGCTGGATGCGATTACCGAGCCGGCTCTGGCGATTAGAGATCTCTGTTCTGATATCGGTTCTGTGCCCATCTTGCGGCTGAACCAGGATAGGAGTTCCCAACTGTGTCCAAGTTGTAATACATATCAGATTGTCCTCACCACCAACTCCGGATCGATAGATTGCTGATGAGACTCCTCCATCCTCGGATTCATGTAAGGGCACTTGGTATCGGCAGGCAGGAACCTCCTCAAATATTAAATAAGGAAATCGCCATAAGTAGACCTGGATCAAACCGCTTTTAGGGCTCCTAGTACTGGCAAGGAGTACAAGACCGTCATTAGAGAAGGAAAGGGTCTCCACCGGCTGACACTCCTTGCATTCGGTCTGAAGTTGATCTTCCCGAGGTTCTTCCGAGTTAGTTGTAGAGAAAATGCGAACAATCGAGTTGTCGAACCCAACTACAACATAATTCTCCATTGGGCAGATGGTTATACTCCTACACCAAAGCGATGAGGACATCCGATACTCGACGGCAGCCACTGACGGTTGTATAAGGTTGACGATTCTTAACTAAACGGGTAGGGTCAGTACAGATAGCTTACATTACAATCGCGGAATGCTTACGGTAAGCTTTTGATCTCGAGTGCCGATAATATACGCCAAATGTATCTTGGTTACAGCAGCCAAAACACATGTGCTCTCCGCTGAAATTGCTCGGCTCATGGTGGCAGGAGATGTCCCAAGATCCCAGATATAAATTGAAGTTTGGTTCCAAAAAAGAGCATAGGTCGAATTCTGCGAAAGATAAACATATATATGCTTAGCAATTTTCCCCCGAGAAGTCTTCTTCGGCGGGGTCGTTAATACTTTGAGGGAAATCTCCTCGAGCCTCTGCGACTCCAGAGTGGCCGATGACAACGAACTTGTATCTCCTGAAGCTCCGGCGGATTCCTTCCGTGATCCAAATCGAGGCCTCCACCTAGATCTTCCTTTCTCGGGTGGAACGATCATAGGTACAATTCGGCTTCGAGTAGGCGAGGCCGCTTCGATTGGGATTGATGAGGATGTTGGTTCGAATCGATTTTGACTTGACGTGGAGCTTTCCGCGAACTCTAGAGGAGATAACGACTCTTGCTTTCCGGTGTCTAATTTTTGGAGCATTGCTTGTATTAGTTCTTTGGAGTTACCACTGTCCGAAGATCCCACACGAGATGGATCAGATATCTGAGGGGCGCCAGGAGATATCGGGGATAATATTGTTTGAGAGATAGAGCGGGATCGTTCTGGTGGTCCACGGCAAGTGGTGTAAGGACCTGCATCACGCAATCTTGGGCCACCAGCAAGGATATTACTGTAGCCAGGCTGGAAGGTCATTCCCGTCTCGACTTTAGGGGGGGCTTGTTGGAATTGGGTTGGGAGATGTCTCTCAACGTTAATTGTGTCGGCGTTGGGCTCAAGAGGCTTCAGGAGGTCCCAAGTGTGCCTTGCTAGAGACACCTCACGCATGACTGTCACGGCTTCCCCGCAAGCACCACATCTCGAATTGGGTGGTAGATTGGCTTCACTGTTTTCCCCGGTGTCGGGCTATAGGGAAAGCTCATTATCAGCGAATCGAAATCACGAATAAAACTACAGGATATATGCGGCCATAACGCAGACATTCTTCGACAAAGGAAAGCTATAAGGTCTCTCGAGGTTTCAGGACGTACTGGAAATTTAAAATGACCCAGATTTCGTAGTTGGGAATCCCCAAAGAGATGGCAGGTACTACAATTCATTGCGTATAATCTTGGACGGGCCGCTCGGAATTGCCCGCTGGGGTCGTCCAGGAGCGCAATGAGTCTGGTGGTCTCTGAGAGGCTGTGCATCATCTCGCGATCACTTAGACGATGGATCAATTGCCGATCACTGAGCCTGGAGCATAACGCTTCAATTGCATCCATCTCGCTCTCATCGAACTGGGAATCCGATGATATTCGCCGTACAAATCCGGGCGTCTCCGGCAGTACCGTGCGGAAGGTTTCACTAAATGTGGAGATCAAGTCGGCTCTGGAGATATGGCCTGGTATTCGCAGGTTGTCAAGCGCATGCAACACAGCATTTCGAATCCGGGCAGAGGATGCCTGAAGGCGCATGTCGCGAGTCTCCCTATTTACCACATACTGGACCGAGGCGCCCACTACGAAATGGGAAATATCTCGCAGGGCTAAAAATTGAGGCAGCCAGTCCTCCGAAAAGCCATTCGATGGCACAATCGTGGACACATTTTGGGATGATAGACAGTCGGGCAAGGGATACTGTAGTTGAACTGCAAGTCAGCTCCCAGCTGCTCCCCTCTATTTAAGGCCTGGTATAGGTTGAGCTTGATGCCACACATACCAACTCAGAAGCTATATTTGGCAATTCATACCTCAGCCCAGGCGGAAGGGCAAGAGAATCGGGGTTGGTGCGCAACGAATCCGTCACCTCCTTGCATACCAACAGGAGAAAGGACTGCTCTCCAGGATAGCTATCGAAAACACGCTCTAAAGATCGGTGAATGCGAGCAAAGCGATCACGACGATCCTTCGCCCGCTGGTTCGCCGGGGCCTTGGGGTGAAGAGCAAGGACTCGAAGAGCCGACAGCAGGAACTCAGCTAAGTATTTGCCTCTTAGGGACTCGACCTCCCACAGGCTCTCCCGTCCCTCGAGGACGGTTTGGAGGACGAACTCGACGGAGCGCAACGCCACCTCCCAGCTCACAAGAAAACCGAGATACCAACCGACCTGCAGGTTTTCGGAGGGCAGTGTGAGCCGCTGGAGGTGGAAAATAGCGTTGAGCTGGGCGAGGAGAGTGACCACCAAGGTTTGATAACTATCTTTGTCGCCGTCAGCATATATTTTCTCTAACGAGAAACTACCGAGCAGCTCGAGGATCAGATGGTCGACATCACTCCTGAGCGAAAGGAGCCGCCAGATATTTGCGAGGCGCTGAAACAACGGGCCGGGCGCCGCCATTGCGGGTTTCAGGGCATTGGCATTGCGGGGGGCGGAGCTGGACGAAGATGGAGGCTCCTCGGGGCTGATAACAGGGGGGTTCTCGACGTCCGCACTCTTGACGGGGCAGGAGAAAGGAGAAGAGAGGTGAAGATTCGACACGGGGATCGACGGGGCAAATGGGCGACGTGGTGGGTGAGGGGGGCGAGTGATGGTTCCAATGTTGAAGACGGTGTCGCGTGGAGGAGCGGCAGAAAAGGTAATACTGTGAAATCATTTCATTCTAAATATATATTGCCGTTCCCTTTTTTGGCACAGGCAGCGACGTAGCCCCCGTGATACAGCTGCAGACGCAGATACAGTGTGTGCATTTCAGGGCCTGGGTGGCCATGAAGGGATGCGAAGGGCCGAGGGCATACTAATAAGTGGGCAGAAACATGGTACTGGATGTACTGTACGGTATCGGTTTACCTCTCAACATGGCGCGTGGCAGGCCATGATGGCATGGATTGGCGGATAGGTGGTGACAAGGTCGAGGATGGATTGGAATGCGAATAGATTGGGCAGAGTGGCATTGGCATTGGCATTCCCCGTACGTACTACGTAGGTAGGTACTCAACGAGTAGGTAGTACTCTACTCTGCGGATTGCGGTGGATAGATGCCATACCAGGTCACAGGCACCGCTACTGATACAGTTGAACTACAGGTACTGTACGTAGCAGAGTCACAAATAGGGCTACAACACAACTGTAGGTACTGAACTCGGCTCTTGATATTTATTGGTACTCGAGTATTCGTATTCAAACTTCTACCTTGGGAGTTATTCACCACTTGCAGCTAAAGGTACCTACCTACCTACCTTTTATATACGTCGCTGCGTGCTCGTACTACCACCTACCAAGGTAGGAGATAACTTATAAGTCTACTCTGTAGTCTCCCAGGGGAAGCCGACAATTAACCTTATTCCGTTGTTCCTCCGATCCTTCACAATCCTTATCGACGCCCTCCATGACTCCGGCGGCCAAGACTTATCTCGTGGATCAGCTACTGTACTACAGAGTTGGCCGCGATTTATCCTCCTTGACCCCTTGCTCCTAGCCAAATATTCGAATTTGTTCCCAAGAATTACTCAGTTGATTTGAGACCTCCCGGGACATTAATTAAAATTAAACGCAAAACCTGTTCATTGTCAATTTTCCATAGTAGCCAGCCAACCCATGGAAAAAGGGGATCAAAAATAAATACTTTCACACATATATTCTTCATCCAAACTTCAAAGTACATACATGTACGTAGTACTCTGTGTATAGTGTATAGTACATACATACCACGTACGTCCAATAGTGTGGCCGCCACCAATATTCCCTGCACGAAGGCCATCAGCTTGTGGATGCAGCTGCAGCCCCGCGCGGGCATACTGTGTTGCGCAGCAGTGAGTGATGGGGTTGGTGCTCGTACTGAAATGTGCTGCAAACACCTTCACAACCCCTTTCGCTTCTCCTCGTCACTTAGATTAACTTCCCACATCTAGGCATGCTACCCTCGATCGAATTCGATAGGGCCATAGCCCATACAGCCTCGTCCACTGCCACTCCGGACGGGCACTTCAGCCCTCCAGGCCATCTTCCTGTTTGGTCTATCGAAGACGCTCGGGGGCCAACCAGCGGAGGTGATACCACACCATCTCGATGCTGCCGAGTACGAGTCCTTGTACCTGCCGCGCTCCTCCGCAAGAGCTCAGGGATCCGTCTACTGCAGGCATTCGGCTCCATCGAGGATAGTCGGCGGATCGACAAGTCGACAAGTCGAATAACAACGATGGGTGTCGTCCAACCTGAACACCGTCATCTCCCGTGGTCCTCGTATTCCGCTGACAAATTTGGCTCTGTTGATGGAGGAGAACTTGGCTAAGGGGGGGGCATCCAGCGGGTCAGGAAGAACAACCAGCACGCCTATAACTGGGTCGGCCAGCCCTACAACAAAAGCACGAGATATCTCCCTGTCAAGGGCGATGTTTCGAGCAGCACCAAGCCGATGCGGTATCTTAGAGGCGTGGGAGGTGGCTAAAAGCCGTTGAATCGGCAAGCCTCTCTTGCGGATCGGCGTGCAGGCCAACCCTGCCACCCCCCATTTTACTTGACGATTTCTTTGGATGGCCATATTTAAACTTGTTTGTGTGTCGGTGTGCAGGCTGCATGGGCAATATCAACCGTAAATACTATGAAGTATTGGTTGCTGGGATGTTTGTGTCACCCGTCCAAAGGTGGTGGCTGGAGTGAAGTTTCCCCGGTCTGACGGTCCTGAGGGGAGGATACCTCGATAGCGCTGTGAATGGGATATTCTGTATGACATTTCCTCTGTAGGTCCCCGATTCACCTTTAGACCTCCCTGTCGGCATGCGTTAGGGCTGTGCTGCAGCTAAACAGTTCCCAGGGATGCCTCCGAGGGTCGATGGGAAGCTGTTGATCTCAATCGCTAACCAACCTTATAATAGCCAGCCTAGCTCCTGGCTTGATCCGCCTGAGCGCAAAGCGCGACCTTATGTCTGTTAGCTTCCCCTAATACCAGCCTCGTCATGGACCACGAGAAACCCCAGGCCGTATATCCACAGATCTTCGAGTATGACGGAACGACGACTGCAACACGCTCTACGATCACTCCAGAGCCTCTGCCTTTGGGTGCCGCTTCACTTGCTGAGTTACCGTATGTTGAGGACAGGCGAGAACGCCGCGGCGAAAGTCTATGGTAAGCGCTTGAGTATATCTAGAAAACAAGCTGATTATGAACTTATCTGTTTCCAGGAGGGTCTTGAAGGAAAGGCACATCAACGTAGGTCGTCGATCTAATACGGATTTCCTGCAGACATGTTCATAGAAATTGATTTAAAACGCTAACATATGCCCCCTCTGAGCATATATAGATGATTGCGTTTTCTGGGTAGGTTCCTACCTATTCTTATTGCGCAGTAAACAGAACAACCACTAACAAGATGCAGAACAATTGGAAATGGTATTCTCACCGCCTGTACAGATTCGATAAAGGGTAATACTAAATGTTTATAGGTCTTTTCCTGGGAAGCGGCAGGTCTCTTGCTGGCGCTGGGCCTGGCGGGGCAGTTCTATCATATATACTCGTTGGCACGGTTATTTCGTCCGTCATATCGTGCCTTGGTGAGATGACCGCCCTAATGCCTGTCAATGCTCCAGTAATGGAGTTTCCACGTCGATACTTGGATCGGGGTGTCGGATTTGCGATTGGTTGGATGTATTGGTAAGTACTCTTGTTTAATCTCCCTAGATGTCGTTAATGTACCTAATTATTTTGAAGGTTTGCATATGCTATCCTCGCCGCTGATGAGCTGGTTGCGGTTTCGAGCACAGTCGCTTTCAAATACGACGATGGCAATACATATTTGAATTGGGCGGTTGGAGGGAGTGTTGATGCCGCGGTCTGGATCGCCTTATTTCTGGTAATTGTCACATGTATCAACATGTTCCCCGTGAAGGTACATCGTTACAGCCTCTGGTACATAGGACAAAACTGGTATTCTAACATATTGTTGTAGTACTTTGGGGAATTTGAGTACATTTTTGGGTCTATTAAACTCACCTTTATTACAATGCTTATTGTGTTAATGGTTGTCCTGGACACTATAAAGCGTGAGTGGCACACTGGTCCGTTCGCTAATCATAATACTCACACCTATTCAACTAGCACGCAAAGATGCCTACTATAGCAAGGTCATCGGCCCAAAGAGTAAGTACTCCCCTCGGTTCTCGACGGCTGAGGGTGTGGCGCTAACGTAGAAGACTGGAATTCACCCTACTCGTTCCTGAGCGGTAAATATAATGTTAAAGACGAAAATGGCGATCTGCAGCGTACAATTGAGGGTGGTATGGGAAGCTTCTTGGGAATATGGTGAGTCCAATTCGCGTACCATATCCACCTTGGGATTAACATATGACTAGGACAACACTTATAAACGTAATGTTTTCCTACATAGGAATGGATATAGTCGCAGCCACGGCCGCCGAGAGTAGGGCGCTTGCCGATGCAGAAAGCATGAAGATGGCGGCAAGAAAAATCAACATCCGAATAATCACCTTATATGCCCTTGCAGTACTTTCAGCTTCTTTTGTTGTCCCAATGGACCACCCATTTATCAATGGAAAAGGACAGTCAGTCGGCTCTCACTCGATTTTTATCATCGCGGTAGTCGAAGCAGGAATCCCAGCAGCGGCTCATGTTTTCAACGCTATATTCGTTTTCTCCTCATTCACCTGTGCTATAAATTCTATGTATGTGGCTTCTAGGGTTTTGCACACTCTGGCATTGCGGGATCAAACTGGTCCTGAATTTATCACGCAACGGTTAAGGCACTGTCGATCTGGTGTCCCAGTAAGAGCAGTTTTGGCAACTGGCGCTATGATGTTAATAGGATTCATGGGCCGGACGGGAGCCCCAGGTCAGGTAAACCGTTCCAACTCACCTATGTATTCACTTTACACTTTATACTAATCTGCGGCTAGAGGTTGAGCGAATTGGCCTCAAACTGTACAGTGTCTTGTCTGATTGTATATGCTATCATCTGTGCTACCTACCTCTCCTTTTTCAAAACGTGAGTTGGTCCCCCGTCCCCTAGGAGATTGGGTGGTGCTGAGCTAACCGCCAGTCTAGACTGGAAGACGCTAGGCTCTATGGGAATGCTTCTGAAGCTCAAGCTGCATGCTACGACCGAAATCATCAGCGATATCCCTATAAGTCTCACGGCCAATGGTTAAAAGCTTGTTACGGTATGATCGCATGCCTGCTGCTACTTATATTTAATGGCGTCAGTGCATTTTTAGAGAACCCGTTTGATACGCGAAGGTTTATTGCATCGTATATAAGTGTAAGTTTAGTTTGATCCGACAATACTCTGCAGAACATGTAAAACAGGCCAAATTCTTACCCTCGCAGGTCCTAGTTTTCCTATTACTCCTCCTGGGGTACAAAATCCAGAAACATGGACTTAGGTTTACTCAATGGGGACTAGAGAGATCTAATGACCTGCGAAATACTATACAGGCTGCAAGCGATGTTAGGAAGGGGAGATTAGAATTTCCTGATGAGGGATTTACTAAGGAAAATGGGCGGACATTCCTTGATTGGGTCCTAGTATGGATAAAGTAGTAACCTGCCTGCCTATATTGCACTTCAGATGACCACTCCTGAACCTGTAATATGTGCATAATTACATTACCTTCCTGGCTGTTGTTTACCTTCTAGAACTTAAAACAGCTTTCTTTCTCCCTTGGCCTAAGTAACACAAGCTCATTAACCAGGACACAATTCGGCGGGCAGTTGACTTATTCCCCATGCTCCGCAAACCAATGGCCAGTCTAGACAAACGTCAGCCTACATAGTGAGATTATTATTATCACTAGCGCCGTAGTACAAAATATGCTCTAATATTCGTAAGTAAGTGCCCGTGGCCTCGCTCGACTATTGGAAATCCCTTCGTATCTTCGCTAGCTTTTCGATAGGAGCGGATTTAGTAGAGTCAAATTTACTATAATACAGGCACGAAATTTATACTATTTCAATTACCGCTGTATTAAAATTTTACTTTGTATTACGTATTAGAGTTTCTAAATTATCTAAAGGAAAGCTAACTATATAGATTTTAGGCTTTAAGACTAGGGTTTTATAATATATATAGTATGTTATAAGTTTTATAGTTCCTAACTAGGACAGATAGTAAAATAGTATAATAGCTTAGCTCTATCTTAGATTTATAACTAGCTATAGTTCTCTTACTAGCCGTGTTTATAATTAGGATACTATCGAAATTTAGTGCTAATAACCACCTGTAGTTTATACTTCAATATAGAGGTACGGGTATTGTAGGTAAAGAGAAGTAAGGACGCTTTATTAATATACTATATATTCGCCGTCGAGTATAAGTTTCACTAGTTTCGTCCTAGATCCCCCCCCCCCC